AGCATTCTCTCTGTAACTTCATAAAAATGTTACTGAACTTCTTTGTGTAGAACTTCTATGTAATTGATATGAATACTTCGGGGAGAGGTTACATATTAATTCACATGGTGACATATTTTTATGATGATTGCTTTTAGGAAAATGTTTTAAATCTTAAATGTTATGCATTTACATAATCAGGAACCTTACTTACTAACCTGTATCTTATTGTGAACAGCTCTTGCCCAAAGTCACAGTTTTAGCCTGGACACGATGATCCTCCTTTGTCTAAACCAAGGACCCGACTTGAATTTGGGGTAAAAGGCTTAGTCATGGCAGGTTAGAGGAATAAATATTTGGGACACACATTTGCTGCCAAGTAAGATTGCTCCTCAGACAAACAATGAATATTTGTAGCAGAATCTAGAGTCAGGCACTCGGGGTTTGAATCTCAAATAACTTAATTCTTTGATCTTTTGTTCAGGAGTTGCTGTGAAGAGTAATCATGCTCAATACCTATTAATTATTGTCAATATATTGTCATAGATGATTTAATATTATTGAAAACTTAATATCATGGATAAAGATAATTTAGTATTACCATTCCCACTACATCTCCTCACTCTTAGTCTACTTCACCCCCCCACACACACAATTTCCTGTTAACTATTAAGAGAAGTGATTAATTCATACCCATTTAACAAATGTAAATATTAATGGCACTTACTTAAGGTTAACATTTATAGATCATGGTTCAGAGACATTATCTCCCTTTGAACTTTCCCACAGCTCCAGGAGAAAAATAGGGTTATTATTACTCTTGTTTGAGAAAAAAAGAAAATTAAGGTTCATGGAAGTTTAGTGACATGATCAGACTCTCACAGCTAATAATTAAGAGCAGAGATTAGCACTCGGAACTTTGCAAGGATAATATTAAACCATGATGCATTCCTCACTGCTATGTATAGAGACTCAAGTAGTAAAGAAACTAAGGCCCGAAAAATGTTTTTCTCATAAGTTTCCATAATACTCTCAAAACTTAGTCATATACTAACATTGTAAAATACCAAATGGGTTGTTAAAACACTTGCCATATTCAGATATTGAATCCTAAAGGTCATCTTCATTGTTTTGTTTGTTGTGATTATGTTATTTCATCACTGATGTCACAATTTTTGCTTTAATAAAACCCTACGATGCCACACCAGGGCAAAAACTTTTCCATATATGTAAACAGCAGAGGTGGGAAGAGGGGGATGAAAAGACGCTGTTTTCTTTAATAGAAGAGCTGCGGGGCCTTCCATAGCTTGTTCATTACGTGGGGAGACAGGAACGCCATCCCTCAAACATTTGTGCTTGCCTCTGAGTGAAATGTTTTCCATTTTTACGTATGGCCTTAGTATAAACGAGCAAATATTAGAACTCTAAGAATTTAGAGGAGATCAATAGCAACAAAGTATATTATTATATAAATTTGCTATGTTCTACCTGGGTAAGAACTCTAGGTCCCCGAGATGGAATGTAGCTTAGCTAGCAACCTTAGGGTATAGTTCACCATTATACAAAAGCCTAACAATTTCACATGGATAAAGTATAATTCTCAAGTGGAGAAGGGAAACAGAGAAAGAGTATCTAACTCAAACGCAAGGATGTTCATTTTAGTGGCAGACTTTTCGCTCAGTAGCCTTGAAACGGAGAGTGATCACTTCAGCCTCTTTTGTGACCTCAGCTTCTGTCTTCAGATCAAGGGGGTGATAGGATGTGTTTATATTTTAGAATTGTTAATATAAGATGAGAGAACATACGTTTGAGCGTCCCAAGACTGGGTTTTCTTTTAGCTTTTTGGATTCTTTGTTTTGGGGTTTTTTGTTTTTTAGCTGAAATGTAATGCAAGTTCATTGTAAACAAGAAGAGGGGAAAAGGAGGAAGGAGGAAAACAAACTAGCAAATAAATGGAATCATACATCTCTATATTACTGTGATGTTTTAGAATAATAATAGGTATTATTCTTAGCACAAGCAATGGCAAAGGCCAGATGACTGTGGACAAATCACTTACTCTTACCCTTTCTTAATCCACAAAATGAGAGATCAAACTAGTTTATTTTTTGACAAAATGTCATATTCATACATTGTTCTCTGGAGGCAGTCACCAGAAGGCTTTTAAAATGAAAATAAATATAGTCCTACATTTTATTAAAATGAATGTGAAGAATGAAGTGTCAAACCAGACATTCAGAAAGTAAATGTTTGATGTTTTTCAATCAAAATTTATTAAAGTGAACAATTTGTGAAACATAAATATAACTCAATTCAAAAAATGTCAGTGAATTTAACAAATAGACAAAAGCAAGCTTATAAGCAAGTCAGGATTCTGTCTTACAGTTACCTTAGCTAATAAGGAATCATTGGAATCAATGATTGGATTAGTGAAATTGCTTTGTTCAAATAAATTTCATGAATAAACAGCTGTGTGAATCATGACCCAAAAAAAGTGCTGTTAAAGAAAAACGTTATTGAAAAAGTTCCCCTGGGTAAGTAAATAGAGATTGTATTAATAATACTAATTGTTAATCCTGTTTTGATTCGATAAACTTTTGAGCACCAGTTACATTTGAGGCAGGAAGCTGGATGGTAGAGCTAGGAAAACTCAGAAGCCAAAATTCACTGCTTTTCCAGTGAAAGAGGAAAAAATCCTAGATAGGCGTATCAATCAGTGTCCCAGGAGTCAAGGTATGAACAGGGGATCTATAGAAGTGGAAACCTAAGGGCTACGAACTACAGTGGTCCTCCCTTATCTGCTGGAGGATACGTTTCAAGATCTCCAGTGGATGCCTATTGTGTTACGCGTTAACAAAACCGAACTCTTCATAACACCCAGTGAGGAATAGGATATTGAAGAAAGTGTTTCCTCCTAAATGCAATACACAAGAGACACTAGGAATGTTTATGTGATGGGTGAGGACCAAGCCCAGAGAAATAGGTTGTGGTATACAAGGTGGGGTTGAGACATAAGAAACCAAATTTTAAAAGAGATAACACAGGAGAGGTTTTAGAATTGTTTCCTAACATGGCTTACAGCTCTGAATCCGGAGGTCTGGGGTGAGCCTGGAAATCTGCATTTTGTTTAATTATAAAAGGATATATTCATAATGGACGCATTGGGCGGTATTCTGAAGCATCTGATGTCAAAAGTAAATGACACTTTGTAAGACCCTTTTTTCTCTGTGCAGTAACTGACACCTCCTATATATTTTTGGAAGGCAAAATGGTAAGTTGCACTGCATTAACATCATTTCCTTGAGTAAACTCTTCAGGGTTTCCTCAAGACCTACAGATTCGTATCATATATGTAATCACCTTTCTGCTTAAATAGAACTCTATTCTGTAATATTATGAGTCTTGCTTTGATCATATCATCTTCTAACTGTAATTTTCCACAACAATGCCAGAACACATGTATCTGCTCCTTTGTTTTAACAGCTGCATACTATCCCATAGTAAGAGTATTCCAGAATATATTTAACCAATCCTCTGTCGGTGAGTCATTTTAATATTTCTAGGGGTTTTTTTTTTTTTTTTTTTTTTGCTATAACATTTCTGAATGAACATCCCTGAGTAGACCTCTGTGCACATTTGTAACTATAGCTGAAATAGAACTTCCTATATGCAGTCTGTCACTACACTTGGGTGATACTGTCTGAAAAATGATAATTATGTTTTTATTGAAACTCAGCAGAGTTTGGCAGCAGAAAGGACACTCAGGTTTCATAATTGCTTCTTTGGCAACCCATGGCTGCCACCAGAGCACATAGATCTCCCATGCAGGGATCTTGTCTTAATCATCACTGAATACCCAGCCTACAGCAAATGCCTAATACAGAGAAGTTGCTCAGTAGCTATGTGAGGACAAAGTAAATGAGTAAATTCTCAAGCAAACTGAGGTTTGTTCATAGTCTTACCTCTGTGATTGACTCGATATGTGACCTTATATAAATTACTGACTCTTTCTGGGCTTCAGTTCCTTCTTCTGACAAACAAATATAAATCCTAGCTTGACTGCACCAAAGATTTGGCAGGAAGAACAGTAGAATAATATATTTGGTAGTGACTTGAAAAGTAAAACATTCAGAAAATTCACATAATCATTGTCAATATGCATTTAGTAAATAGCTTCTTTTGCAGGGCATAGAATATTGGAAATGCTAGCTATGTGATGCTAACTCTTAAGTGTAAAATGGAGATCAGAGAAAAAAATAGTCTTTGGGGGGAAGGGTATTGGCTAATGAATTATTATTATCTTTGTTAGTATCGATATCAGTATCATTATGAAAAAGGCTTAAAGCTTCCAGTTGGAAAGGTGCTATTGACTATTAAAGTCACATACTCAATATTTTAAGTTTTATGCTTTCTTCCTCCCATCGGCTTATTAATTTTTATATACATACCAGAAACCTCTTGATGCTTTGGAAAGTCTTAGGTGTAACTTTAGTTCATTCAGTTCAATTCATCAATAGTATACTCAGGGGCACCTGGGTAGCTCAGTTAAGCACCCGACTCTTGATTTCGGCTCAGGTCACAAGCTCAGGGTCATGAGATCGAGCTCCACATCAGGCTTTGCACTCAACCCAGGGCCTGCTTGAGATTCTCTCTCTTCTCTTCCTCTGGCCTTCCCACTCATGCTCTCTCTAAATAAATAAATAAAATCTTTAAAAAACTTTAAAAACTAGTATACTCAGTTAAATTGACTAATGATAGATAGACAGATATTCATATCTAGATATGGACATATTCAAAATATTATCAGACTTCAAATACACTGCCAGCCTGAAAGGATTTTTTGAACCCTCCAGTTAATGTCTTTACCTTTTATGTGGGGAATTGGGGCAGATAGGCACAATAAACATAGAGGGGAAGGAATGAAGATTTTGGAGAAAAAAACTGTGGTTCAAAAGGAAGAAAGCTGGTATATCTTAACGCAATGTTTGTATTTGTTAATTTTATTCTGTTTCCCTGCAGGTTTAAATGTGTATTTGGCTACTTGGCTACTGATTAGAGAACACAAAATGAATAACTCAACAAACTCCTCTAACAATGACCTGGCTCTGACCAGTCCTTATAAGACATTTGAAGTGGTGTTTATTGTCCTTGTGGCTGGATCCCTCAGTTTGGTGACCATCATTGGGAACATTCTGGTCATGGTCTCCATTAAAGTCAACCGCCACCTCCAGACCGTCAACAATTACTTTTTGTTCAGCTTGGCCTGTGCTGACCTCATCATTGGTGTTTTCTCCATGAACTTGTACACCCTCTACACTGTGATTGGCTACTGGCCTTTGGGACCTGTGGTATGTGACCTTTGGCTAGCCCTGGACTATGTGGTCAGCAATGCATCAGTGATGAATCTGCTCATTATCAGCTTTGACAGGTACTTCTGTGTCACAAAACCGCTCACCTACCCAGTCAAGCGGACCACGAAAATGGCAGGTATGATGATTGCGGCTGCCTGGGTCCTCTCCTTTATCCTCTGGGCCCCGGCCATTCTCTTCTGGCAGTTCATCGTAGGGGTGAGGACTGTGGAGGATGGGGAATGCTACATTCAGTTCTTCTCCAACGCTGCTGTCACCTTCGGTACTGCCATTGCAGCCTTCTATCTGCCTGTGATCATCATGACCGTGTTATACTGGCACATATCCCGAGCCAGCAAGAGCAGGATAAAGAAGGACAAGAAGGAGCCTGTGGCCAACCAAGACCCAGTTTCTCCCAGTCTGGTACAAGGCAGGATAGTGAAGCCAGACAACAACAACATGGCCGGCAGTGACGATGGCCTGGAGCACAACAAAATCCAGAATGGCAAAGCCCCCAGGGATGCGGTGACCGAAAACTGTGTCCAGGGAGAGGAGAAAGAGAGCTCCAATGATTCCACCTCAGTCAGTGCTGTCGCCTCCAACATGAGAGATGATGAAGTCACCCAAGATGAGAACACAGTGTCCACTTCCCTGGGCCATTCCAAAGATGAGAACTCTAAGCAGATGTGCATCAAAATTGTCACCAAGACCCAAAAAGGTGACTCGTGTACCCCAACTAATACCACCGTGGAGGTCGTTGGTTCTGCAGGTCAGAACGGAGATGAAAAACAGAATATTGTAGCTCGCAAGATCGTGAAGATGACTAAGCAGCCCGCCAAAAAGAAGCCTCCTCCCTCCCGGGAGAAGAAAGTGACCAGGACGATCTTGGCTATTCTGTTGGCTTTCATCATCACTTGGGCCCCATACAATGTCATGGTGCTCATTAACACCTTCTGTGCACCCTGCATCCCCAACACAGTGTGGACAATTGGTTATTGGCTCTGTTACATCAACAGCACGATCAACCCCGCGTGCTATGCACTTTGTAACGCCACCTTCAAGAAGACCTTTAAACATCTTCTTATGTGCCATTATAAGAACATAGGCGCTACGAGGTAAAACATCTTTGTAGAGAAGGCAGGTGGTGAGGGGAGCTTGGGAAAAAGAGAAGGGATAAAAGAGTTCCCCGTTTTAAAAAATCTCTGCCATTGCACTTTATAGTCTTATTATGGAATGTGCAATTAAGGAGCCTAACAGTGACACTTTTGTCGTGCCGATGCTCTGGTTTGAGAAACCTGCACCTTATAAACCCTGTCAGTTTAGGAGCAACGAGACCATGAAAGAGACATGTTGGAGTTGTGGATTGAAGGGACAATCTACGCTTTCTCGTACTCTTGAAGAAGGGCTTCTGAATCTACAATTTTATCTCTGCACAAGAAGAATAACCTCGCTCCTTTTTTTTTTTTTCCGTTTTTTTGTTGTTGTTGTTCCTGTGTGTCCATACGAGGATGAAATGCCACAGTTACAAGCTAACATGGAGACTTAAACATAAGGAAATAGACATCACACAATGGAGAAGTGAAGAAAAAGAATCAAAACAGGATGTAGAAATGGTCTCCAGAGTGTTAAGCATATATTATTCTTTTGTTACAGCTTTAGTTGGAGAATTACAACATAATAAATGCTCTTTCCCCCTTACCTTTCCCTTTTCCCATCATCAAAAGAAAGCAAACAAACAAAAACCCTAACTAGATCACATCATTATTTTTCTCATTATACCATCGGCTTTTGTACTTCCCTGTTGTACATTGTGTAAGGGCAAAAATCTGCAGGACTTCCAGTAAACCAGACACAGCCTTGAAAGTGGGCCTTTCAACCCTGCCCACTGTGTCATTTGCATTCTTTGGGGGGTATAAAAGCCTACAAACATTTAGTTGGCTTATGATCCTTTGGGTGAAATGTTTTCACCAGCCTGGTTTTCTCCTCAACGATCTTATGTGAACGGAGTAGCCTACCTAATACATAAACATGCTTGAGAAACCAAAGTCATTTTTTAAACTGAGGTTTGGTCAAATTAAAGAGTAATCATTTTTAGTTGGAGAAAGTTTACCGAGGCCAGACGAATTTTGCAAAAGGCAAATAGAAGGCTGAGAGAATTCTGTTTCAACGGGAATTTGCCTGACCCGTGTATGAAATGCAAACTTGAAAAACGTGACCTTCTGGCCTTTGTCAGCAGGACGAAGCTGCTTTACTCATTTGGAATCCTAAGTAGGATTAACGTACTCTCATGGCACCAGTGACTTCTGCATCGGTCCCAAGGGAATAAGACCTTCTCTTGGATGCCTGCTCACGAATGATACTCAAGTCGGAGTCCAGTGAGGTTGTTTATAGCCATCCTATGTCCCAGTGGAGAAGGAAAAAGTTCATTAAAGAACATTTCCTGAAACCACCTGTTCCATCTTCCTCAAATGGTCAATTCTCCCTAAAATTTCTTAACTTCGAAATTCCATCCATAGAAATACAGGAATCTCGTGGCAGACATGGAGTGGATAACTAATGGAGGCCAAGTGAGGTCAGCAAAAGCTGACGAAAATTGTGGGTAGGGTCCCCTGTGTCACTTCTCATGAGCTCTTGGATTCTAGACCATCAAAAGTCAGGTCAGGAACTGTTACCCCAACGGTGGCTTTATATAGACTCTCGTCCATGGAGAGACTTTTTATTTGGTGCCCCTGATAAATACATCATTGTATTGATTCACACTTAGCTATTTCTGTCCTTCAACTTTTTTCTTACTATATGTGCTGTAGTCTTAAAATCAGATTTTCTGAAGATGGCCCAATCAATAGAAATCAAACGTATAAAGCTCACTTCAAATTTCCTATTTTGCATTTTAGATTTATGGGCCTTATGATCTCTTGACCAGTAATATCAATGTAAGAGCATGATTAATGTTTCAGTATTAAGCCTTAGCACTTTAGAGCTGTTTTGTGTGACTTGCCTCATCAATGGCCTCTCAACAATTTTGAAAGTTAAAAAAAAGCACAAGGTAAACAACAACAAAAAAGAACAGTTAGTAAGACGCAAATTGCCAACAATAGTTGTATGTAACTTACCCTTTATAAAAATAACTTCCTGTTTGAATAACTGCAGTCATTTCCCCTGAATCTCCTAGGTATAAACATACAGCATCAGTTTATACAGATTCCTTTACTCTACAGTTACTTCAGTGTAAATGTTTACAATTTTAAATCCACATTTACTTTGATTTTATTTCTTCAAATCAGTGAATCAGTTGAATGGAAGGGACATCAAGCCAATGGGCTGTTCGGTTTGCTATAAATGAAACAATCGACTGGCTGAATATTTCACTATTAACTTGTACTATTACGATGTAGATTCAGCTTTAGTTGGGATGAACTCTTTGGATTCAAGGATTCAGGAGTCTGGATTTGCGTCTTTTCTGGTCCACTCTAACAATTCAACTCACCATGAATCAAACAGCCTCTTGCTCTTCATTGCCATTACATCCTCCCTTCCTTCCTTCTGTTCTTGATCTTCGCCGTAGCCACCTCAACCTTGTTGAAAGAGAAACCGTCATGCATTACGGCAAGGACGTGAATATAGACTGACACATCGTGGAAGCTTTGTCAACTGGAATCAGAGAAATGGGAAGAATACTGAACGTAGTAGATGATGAGAAAGACACAGATTGTATTCAAAGGTTTGCATTAACTGTTGCTGGGTTTGTCTATTTCAGTGGCTCTCATACAGGAACTATTTTGCTCCCCCGGGGACATTTAACAATGTGTGGAGACATTTTTGGTGGTCACAACTTGGGGGAGAGATACTGGAATCTGGTAGATGGAGGCCAGGGGGGCTGCTAAACTGCTTACGGTGCACAAGATAGCCTCCCCCTCACACACACAACTAAGAATTACTTGGCTCAAAGTGTCAATAGTGCCAAAGTCGAGAGACCCTGGTCTATTTTAAGGAATTCTAAAGCTTACTTTGTATTCGTGGGAAAATAATCCTGTATCACTATTAGAATATCAATGCAAATTGCTCACCTGTTTCAAAAAGGTAATGCTCACCAATTGTGTATCAGACACACTGTTATCATTGCGTCTAGTGTACTTGTAAATCACAGATTGGGAACACGGGGGACATCGACATATCCAGAATTAACAGACCATGCACATAGCACATTGTCTCCAACATCTTCATGTCCCATTATGATTGCCATAGAGTCCAGTCAATTGAGGTTGCTGGTAATTGGCCATTAAAATGATTGCAGTTGATACGGTCAGTTTCTATCGGAGCTGCCACTTTTCCTTTCAAAAACATTGAGAGCATCTTTCAGAAACAATCTGATTCATCTCCTTTATTTTCACTGGAAAGGCGAATATCTGTCAAGAATTTCTTCTCTCCTCATAGCAATAATGTAAATACTCCAGGGTGGTCTTATAAGAAGAGGAGATTAAGAATGTCAAAAAGCCAGTTCATTTCTTAAAAAAAAAAAAAAGAAAAGAAATGATTCCTCTTTTACCAGTTCGCATTAATTTAACATCAGCTCCGAAGTGTTAGGACAAAGTCACAAATATAGGAAGTCACATGGGATAAGCTTTCCCATTTGAATGTGGAAACTGGAGGTCCCACATACTTCTGCTCCTTATCTATTCCACTGCTTTTTTGATCCTGGAGATCTGACATTGGGGAAGACTGAAATTCAAAATGATGGCAACATATACTTAGAAATGCAATCTACTTTTATTTTCTCCTACTTAGTTCACTGGTGGTTGCCTTTCCCCAGTTTGATGATATACCTTTCAACAACCACAGCACTGGTGTTACAAATAGATTAGGGAAGCACCCAAAGCTGGATGAATTGTGCAAAGTGTATTTTCAGCATGTATATACGATACCATGCCTCTTAAATATGCTTCTTTTAAAAGGGTGCACGCTGCAGCATGAACTGTGTGCATATTTAATGTATCTTTCTGGAATATGCTGTATGCTTAATATACATATTCTATAAAGTAATGAACTGTATCATAGAAATACATTATTTCTGTATGCAAATAAATATGTTATACACAAAATCTTGATATGCAATATGGTATATGTTGCTTCAGAGAGTAACAAGACTAGATTTTATATGCCCTTTTTTTTTAAAGTAGTACTTGCTTTTGAAGGAAGAGGTTTAAGAACGGCCAAAATCCTACCCATATTACTATGAAACTGTTTTATAATCTTTGAAAGCATGGCACTGATTTTAAGTATCTCTTGGAGGACTATATTAATAAATCTTTGCTGGTGTCAGCCCACGTGACAAGAATGCTCTTTGCTCCCGTGCTCCTGACTGGCCTGTGACTAGAATCTTCCTGGCTGTTACTGTTCCAACAGCTGTGTTGATCTCACGTCTGATTGCCTGATGAGATTGCAACCAATTCATTGACATACAGCTTTGCTCTCCTCCAAATTAACTGATTTTTGTCAAATAAAAAATAATCATACAAGGAGAAAAGGATGACCTTCAGAATGTTTTTCATTCTGAGAAGCAAGGTTAAAAAAAAAAAAAAGTACAAGCACTGTATTTTATAAACCATTCTTTTTAGTTTGAGTCCAATACAGCATCCCATACATTAAATGCCAGCAATTTCTAGTGTAGTATATTGCAGGTTTCTCCAAGAAATAGTGAAATAGGTGGTTTGTTTCCGAATGCCCTCCATTTTTTCCACAGCACTTCTCTTTCTCTGCTTGTTGCCCACTCAACTACCCACATTCCCCGGGACATTTTCTTTGGCTCATTAGCATGAGTTCCTAGTTAACAAATATTGTTATGATTTTAGTTGATATGGGGCATGCCATCCCAAGAGACACTTGCATTTTAATAAAAAAGCAGAAACACTAAACAGCTCCAAGATCCCTATTAGTCTTTAGTTACCAAGGTAGTCAGTGGGGAAAATAATTTTCAGTGAATTCTAGTTTTCTATGCAAATTTTATAACATGCTTCACCATCTGTCCACTTTCTAAATTTTACCTGTATGTCACAATCCACGCTTGTGCATTGTTATCTCTTATCTGGACCAGAATCATTTCTAGAAAAAACAACTGAAAAAAAAACCAAACAATTGAGTTTTCTATCAATTCTCTATTAGTTTCTTATTGGTCTAGTGAAATGTTCTCATTTCATTTTTTAGAAGTTGACTGAATACTCTATCAATGGATTGCCAAATGTTATTCCTGACTAGGTGGCTTTAAATACTGAGAC